CAATTTTGTTCATAGCTATCCAAGTTCACATGAAAATCAAAACAATTCCACAAAACCTAAATATTTTCATTGAATCTCAAAATCACATTTCCATTTCAAATCCCACCTTCACCCACATAATATAAAATCCAAACTACGTACAAACACTTAAAACCTTAAAAAAAGCAAGCATAAAACCCACTAAAATTGTTCCTCAAGCCTTCTTGGGCGACTTGGCTGCCTTCTTGGGCGATTTTGCAGCTTCTGTAGCCTTCTCCGCTTTCTTTGGCAGAAGAACGGGGTTGATGTTGGGGATAACTCCGCCGTTGGCTATGGTGACTCCGGCCAGAAGCTTGCCGAGCTCCTCGTCGTTCCTCACAGCAAGCAACAAATGCCTCGGGATTATCCTGCTTTTCTTGTTGTCCCTCGCCGCATTTCCGGCCAATTCCAGCACCTGCAAATCGAAATTTCAACTTTCATAAGGTTGTGTCAAAAACAGATCTGAAAAATCTCATGATTACTCCAAAACTTAATCTACAAATAATCGGATAAAAAATGGATCGAAACATGGAATAATCCAACCAGACAAAATGGAGAAATTAACCAAAAAGGGGGTAAAGACGCAATGTTTACCTCAGCCGCGAGGTACTCCAGAACGGCGGCCATGTAAACTGGAGCGCCAGTGCCGACGCGCTGAGCGTAGCGTCCCTTCTTCAGGTACCGGCCAATTCGGCCGACCGGGAACTGGAGGCCGGCCTTGACGGACCGGGCAACCGGCTTCTTCTTCGGTCCGCCGCCCTTCCTTCCTCCGGCTCCTTTCTTCACCTTGGTATTGGGATCCATTGCTCAGTGTGTGTGTGTGAGTGTGTGTGAGAGAGATAGTCTGTATGTCAGTATGTGTATGAGAGAGGGAGAAAATGGTTCGTGCGGAAGTTGCAGTTTCATGTTGATGATTAAATAGGAGTGGGGATAAAATGGTGGGTGAATGTGGAGCGTCAGATTGAGATTTATCGACGGTTGAGAGGGGATACTCGCTCGATCCGCGCGGTATGAGATGGACCAATCAGGAACGAGATTTACCAAAAGTGTGGGAGGGAATTTTCTTTCTTTCCCAAGAGCGGGTAATGTAAAATTTGAAAACAAAAACATCTGATTGAAATTTTCATTTTGGAGAAAAAATAACACACACAATCTATATCTATATCTATATACAAAGTGAGTTGATAAAATTGTTGTTACTAATAATAGAAGCAAATGCTTCTTTTGGAAATGATGTCAACAATATATTTGGAAATAAATATATAATTAATATTTTTTTGCCTTTTTGATTTACTAAAATGATATTTAGTTATCAATTTAATATATAATTAGTATTTTTTATGACCTGAAAGACGATATTAATTAATTAGTGGTATATTTAGTGATTATATTAAATATAATTAGGGGCATATATAATGCACATTTGTCATCCCATAATCTGTAACACCACCATAGCCTGATCAAATTTCAATTAGTGGCATGTGAAATTATAACAGGTTGCATATTTGACTCTTGACTATATACTTTAGATAATTATTTAAATTTGTTACATCTAATTATTTTGTAGATTTTATTATATTCGATAATGTCAATTAATAATATTGAATACTTTGAAGTTCTATACTGATGACAATACGAATTACGTGATATACTTTTTACATGGGAAAAAAATTTCTAAGTTATCAATTAACCATTTCCATAGAATATATATGACTTCAATCTATATATTTCTCAATGTGATTAAATAAACTAATAAATCCCATAATAAATAATTAAAAAAAAATCCCAAAATGAATCATTTGACAAGTTAAATATATATCATCAATTATTTTGAGGATAATTTCAGTTTTCTAAAAATAAATCTTGAATTGTAAGTATATGAATTATTGTATTTGGAAATGCAAAATGTAATATTTAAAACGACTTTGACCATATATTTAATAATGTATAAGAATATACATACCAGCAAATAAGATAAAGATACCGCAATCGTTTGATAATTATTATCAATTATATCTATTATTATCAATTAACCGTGATATTTACTAAATTGTTCCATATATGTTTCTAAATTATTCCATAGAATATATGATTTAATTTTATTTCTGAGGGGTTACAGATATTAGTGTCGATTATCTATGACATGCAAGACGATAATAATTAATTAGTGACATATTTAGTGATTATATTAAATAATATGAATATTAAAATAACTACATCACAAAATTGAATATTGGCAAGGACGAGATAAAAAATTTGGCTCAATGCGAAGTTGAGAAGTCATTGCGAAGACGTGAGAGGAGTATACATGATTTTGATTCTATGCCTTACCCAACTATTAATGATCGTGAGAATAGTTGTAATATGATGTTGCTTGATGAATTCAACTATGATCGAAAAGCTATGGCCGTTGAACATCAAATGCTACTGTCCACAATGATTGTTGAACAACATTCTGTATATGAAACCATAATGAAATCTATTTATTGTAATAATGGTGGCTTATTTTTTGTTTATGGTTACGGTGGTACTGGAAATACATTCTTGTGGAGAGCTTTATCGATCCAAAAGAAATTTTGTTCTTAATGTGGCATCAAGTAGAATAGCTTTATCGAGCCTAAAC